AGCGTTAGTCATCTCTCTACTGAATATTCTAAATAATGAACAAAAAATTCGCGTTTAATGTTCTCTTTACAGAAAGCTATAATTAATTAACATGAAAGAATAAGACAAACAAATTCACACATTAATCTTCCCCCTACGGGTGTTTATACATATTTGGAACAAAACCTTAGTGTTTGAATACAATCTTAGTTTTCATCATTATACCTCTCCTTTAGTTATCTTTAGAATATTACTTTTATGGCTATTTTATAACAGAGTAACGTTTTGCCAGTGAGGAAGCCAGTAATGTACGGATTTTATTCTCCATGTAAAGTCGAGACGGCTTAGTCTGCTATGTTATCAACAGCCAGATCAAATGATAGGTCCACTTTTATCCCTACTTTTTTTATTCCTTTGTTTTTCAAATTCCGTAGCCAGCCCTAGATAGCTTTTATATTTAGCGATACTTTTTTTCCCTTATACTTGTTTGTTTATTTTTTCTATTAGATGGCGTATGTGAGTTACTAGGTTATAGAGTGCATTCAAAAGCTTTATACATTTACATAGAATAATAATAAAATAAATAGTCAAAGATCGTGAAAACTATTTTGCTCTATTGAATGATGATAAAATTTTAGTTACTGCTAGAATTAAGTAGGCATTAGACCTATTGAAGAAAGATGATGATGAACGAAAATAAGAAATCTCGGTTTTGGCAATTTGCCAGTTTTCATCTTTGGAACGCTCTGGATAGTTGAAAAGCGGCATATACACAAGAGATAGAGCGACTATGCCAAGTAGCTTTTCATATCTAGCTTCTGATGACCTGTATGTGTATGAATATTTTTTTTACTCCTTCACTTCATCTATATAAATAAACGTCAATATGTGCGCATCTGTTCCTTATAGATTTCCACATTTCTAGATCAGTCAGCACCAAACTTGACACAGTGACACAGGATGACACGAGGAAGGTCATGGGGGTGGGGGTGGATTCCTTTGTAATTTCATAAAAATTCCTAATGTTGTATATCCCCTAGTATTAGAATGTAACTAATATTGTTAGAATTCTTGAAAACAGTATGTCTTTCTTTTCAATATTGTTCCCTTTATGTATTTATATTGCATTTTTAGTGTTTATTATGTTAAAAAAAGAAATAGAACCACATCTTTCTATCCTTTGTTACAAACGAGTTTTTAAGTTTGATTTGCCACTTCTCGTTTCCATTTTTTTTGTCCCACCCTCTGACACCAATTTGTTACGTCTCTGTTCGTTAGTTAATTTCCGTAAAAATTCTTTCCGAAGAAACTTTAGCGATACAAATCCTTTCTTAAATAAAACTGGTTTATTCCTTCTGAATACAACTTTGCAATATGCTTAATTTCCACAGTCACGCTATAACAAACGCCATAATTCACAACGAACGACTCACGTGCTCGACTGAATTGTCAGTCTTCTTCAGTCTCATGAAAGTGTCAAACTAGTTTCTCTAATATCAGACTTCTGACGGTTTGTTCCGTTTACTGTGGTTTTTCATTGGTATCAGGTTTGTTGGCTTTTTGATACAAACCACGAGACTGACTTTTAGTCCCAAAACATGTTTTTTATAAAAAATTTCTTTGGTATTCTTATGACTCCCCAAATAGTGCATACTTCCAACTCACAATGAATTTTGTTAACTCGTCATAATTCTTGGAACGAAAACCAAAACTAATTCAATAATTCGTTATGATTGAAGATGGTAAGTTGGCAGTCTGTTTGCATGTATTTTTCCTCATCTTTTTCAGATCAAAGTCCCACCAGGAATCTCTGATTTCCTTGCTAATTGCTTTTATGGAATTCTTTTTCTGTCTCTAATGAAGTTAATCTAAACTTTCTCATAGTTTTCTCCCTCGTCTGTTTATGTTGATAAAGTAGACAATTAATTCCCAATACCGCCTAGAATGCATTTTAGTTTATACTTGACATATACATTTCCTTTCTTGGTCAAGCATTGTTGTGTAACTTTTCTTATGTATTCGCTAAATGTGCACAGCTTTTCTTCATATTGCATGTATGTACGTCATACATGGAATTTTATGAAATTATATTTTTCATTTCTTGAAGCATTTGAAAATGTCGTAAATGCCTCGAAATTCCACAAATGCTTCATGTGAAGGAAAGAGAATAGACTTCATCACTTTCTTCCAGTTGTTCTTTTTTTTCTGTTTATGATCACAAATGAAACATATATGATTAAATTATTGTAAAGCAAAATCTTTCTATTTAGGTAGAAGAACGAAAAGAGATCAAGTGGAACATTTTTATTCATAATGCATATTTTGTTGTGCTTAATATGAAACAAAAAAAAATAATTGTATTTATATTATTTGATTTTCTGTTTAAAAAAATGTCAACAGAAAAAACAGAATATATTCAATGTGTAGCAGTAATGTACTTATATCAACGCTGATGCCTTTTCAGACTTGTTCCCTTATGTTATAGAAGATGATATTGAACATAGTCCAAATCATAGTAAAATATGACCCAAATCGTCTGATGAAAATCACAATTTCTATATAAGTATTAGCATCAACATAAAATGCCCGTTTCGGTACTATTATTTACTTCAGTTTCAACTAAGACAAAATTCAATTAAAATTCGAATTTACCTTCGCTGGACCAGCAGTAAGCTTAGAAGCTTATATAACTAAACAACAATCAAACACATATACAACATTTGCATGATGTTTGTTGTGCGTGTTTCTCTAAAGAAACACATACTTCTGCTAATGTAAATATTTTTTTTTATGAATTATCGTGAAAAAAGCATAACAACTGCTGTAATCTCTCTTCTTGTTTCTTTTCTTTTTCCTCCAACAACTGCTGTAATCTCTCTTCTTGTTTCTTTTCTCGTTCTTCTTGTTTCTTTTGCTGTTCTTGTATTGCTGCCATCAAATCTGCTAAGCTGTAAGAGGAAAAGAAAAGAAACAAGAAGAACGAGAACATAAACAAGAAGAGAGACTGCAGCAGTGGCAACTGGAACAAGAAAGGAAACAAGAAGTACAAATGGAAAGCCATGGACCTAATCAGCCTCAAACAACAGAAAGCCCCTTCCAGACCCTGCAGCTAAACCCTAATACAGACATCTTCAGTCCTGTCAGAAGTC